GGCCGCCTCTCTGCATCCTGGGGGTGGGGTGGGATGGGGTGGGATCTGCTCATCAAATGGGAACCCCTCTTATCCCTGTTGCTCTTCTTTCCTAAAGCTGTGAGGAGACCAGCAGAGGATCCTTTCCCCACTCCCAGCCTTCCCAAACTCCCTCTGGACTGTTCAAACCTCTTCATATGGGCTGGCCCCTACTCAACCACATCTGCAATTACACTGCTAGGGGTGATTTCAGCCTCCGGTGCCATCCCCTATGGCCCCACACCTAAAGGTCTGATGGGACGGCTTTGGTGTGGCACTGAGGGACATGGTTAGTAGGCATGGAGGTGTTGGGCTGCTGCTTGGACTGGATGATCTTAGAGGTCTTTCCCAATCGTAATAATTCTTTGATTCTAATGTGGAGCAAAGCACTATCCGCAGCAGTACCAAAGTGCTGCTACCTCCACATGTGGATGTGGAAAACAGACTGAGCACTGCAGATCCAAATGAAAAAGTGCTTGAAAAAAAACCCATCCAGCGTACACAAGATGAAGAATCATAGAATCATAGAATGGCCTGGGTTGAAAAGGACCTCAAAGACCATCTAGTTTTAACCCCAGCTATGTGCAGGGCCCCCAACCACAGACCAGGCTGCCCAAAGCCACATACAGCCTGGCCTTGAATGCCTCCAGGGATGGGGCATCCACTTCAAACATTGGACTGCTGCAGTGATGTCTCCCTGGAGCTCCCATTTGAAATGCCAACAACCACCAAACAGCAGCTCTCTGAGACAAGGCTAGAAGGAGCAAACCACTCTCAAAACCAATGCCCCATTGGTGTCACCTTCACCTTGCCAGGTGTTTGCAGCTGCATCAAAGCCATTGCAGTGTCACCAAGGGTGGTGGTGGCTCAAGAACCAGTGGTGAGAGACCAGTGCATCCATCACTTGTACAATGCCCACATTGTGCTCTTCTTCTTGAAGAGGTGCTGTGTCAGAAGTGAGCCATGGGCACTCAGAAACTAAACTTGGATGAAAGGGGAACCAGTTTTAAACTAAAAGAGAGGAGGTTTACATTAGATGTCAGGAAGAAATTCCTTGCCCAGAGGGCAGTGAGGCCCTGGCCCAGGCTGCCCAGAGAAGCTGTGGTGCCCGCCCCATCCCTCAAGGCCAGGTTGATGGAGCCCTAAGCAGCCTGAGCTGGTGGGGGGCAGCTCTGCCCATGGCAGGAGTTGGGGCAGCTTGGGCTTTGAGTTTCCCCCAACCCAAACCATTCTAAGATTCCATGAAAATGAAAAGAAGCTGAGAAATTGCAAGGGTATGCTATGTGCCCATAATAAGCTTCCTTTAAGTGTAAATGCTAGAAGGTATGAATTGGAGACACAGACTTGATGAGGATTTATACATTTTCATACTGATTTTCTTGTATTTTCTAGCCTGGAGTGTCCCAGCTATCCAGAGCTCAGCACTGCAGCAGGGCAGTTCCTGTGGAAAGAAACTGAGCTGTTCCAGGCTCCTGTCGCCACCAAACCCTCAGGGACAGGGCTCCGCCATGTCCATCAGCCAGGCAGTAAGTGTGTTTCCACACAAGCTGGAAAACAGAGATTTTTCCTGAGTTATCATAGCCAGCATTGGCTGTGACAAGGCTACTTAAGCTTTCCAAGCCCTCCTGGATCTACGTTTGTCTTGCAACAGTGCCAAGAGCAGTATTATAAACATGTCCACAGATAGTGATTCTGAATGTGAGCGTGTGCCTGAGCACACCTGCAGCCCTTGATTATGTGCCAGAGAAGTCAGAAGGCTTTTTTTTTTGGTGTGTGTGAAGTGGTGAGAAGTGTGACTTTGCCAATGGGACAGCTCTTAGCACAATTGGGTGATGAAGAAAGAGGTTCTTGGCTTGTTAGTTACAGCTTCTCTGTTTATGAGGATGTCCAGTAAGTTTTCTGGCCAGGAGTTTCTATGAAGTCACGTTTTCTGGAAATAGCAGCTCCAGGCTGTGTCACTGAGGAGTAGTTTGCAGTGAGCTCCATGAGGTGCTGCACAGAAAGCAGAGAAAAGCCCTGGCTTGGCGACCTACTCCAGGTGGATTTGAAGCCAGTGGAAGAGCAAGGCTTGCTATAAAGACCAGTGAAATCATAGAATCCTAGAATCATTAAGATTGGAAAAGACCTTTAAGATCATCTAGTCCAGCTATCAAACAACCACCACCACCATGCCCACACATAGAATCATAGAATCGTAGAATCCTTAGGTTGGAAAAGACCTTCAAGATCATTGCCTCCAACTCATCACCATCTTGTCCACTAAACCATGTCCCTCAAATATCCCCATCACATTCCCATCTGTTCTTTGGGTGTGGTGGAGCCAGACGCAGTCTCATGTACTATTGTGGCATCCAGGCACATTTTAGGAGGCCCACAGGAAACTGAGGAAATGGCAGTGTGGGAATGTGGTAAATACAGAGAAATTTGGCCTGAGCAGGGCGGGTGTGATGCCAACTGTATCTGCTGCCTTGCAGAAACCTTCACAACAGGACAGAGCAATATGAGAGGAGGATAAGAAGCATGCATGCTTTTAATACCACAAACCAAGCACAAAGATAAGACTTGTTCCGTCTTTGGAGTTTGCCAAGTGAGGGGGGAGCTTTCAGCAAGGCCTGCTGTCGAGGCAGGAGGATTTAATGCTGCTTGACAGGGCTTCCCCAGTGGGCTCGCGCTGTGCACCAACCCTCTGTTCGCTCCCATATGGAACAGATGCTGTTGTTATTGCTGCTCAGAGGCAGCACTGAGATTAGCAGTTTCCACGTACAGATATTTCTCCGGCATTACATAACCCATGTATTTAACACACAGTAAATTTTCATTGCAAATTGGCTGCTGTGGGGGCACTCACATTTATAAAAAGCCATTTCCTCCCCAAGACATGTAGTTACACTGTAGCTGTGGTTTGATCTGATTACGAAAGCTGTACTTGAGAATATAGTGCATGTGGGACTGTGGGATCTCAGCATTTAAAAAAAAAAATTAGAAGTTCCAGGGCTCATCATTAGTTTTTCAAGTTAAGCAGCATGGAACAGCTTCAAACAGTTTCATGTTCACCTGTGAGCAGCAAAGTAACGCTGTACGCAGTACGATGCTGAAAAGATGTGTGCAATGGATCGCATAAAGTTCTTCACCATGCATCTACCATAGAATAGAGCAAAAACTGAGATACAGTATTCACTCTCAGTCAGTGAATTAGGGAGAGAAAAGATTAGAACACACTTCAGACATCTGTCTGGCTGTCTCAGAAAACTTCATTTTCATGCTAAGTGTAGTTTTAGAATGTCACCCTGAAAATGTGTGACATTTTAATAGGCTGATTGCCAAGATTCACAAATCTGTTCATTTGCGTATGAATCACAGCATCAAATATTTTGGAAAACGTAAAAGAAACTAGAATTATGAGAGAACGCCTTACACTCCCCTTGGTTAAACTTATGTTGGGAAGATTCTATAGTTTTATTGTCTCTCCAGAAATTAAATTGTCTCTCCAGAGATTAAAGAATGTTGTGGCATTCCTGTATGTATCATCTAGTCATGATTGCATAGGTTCTCTTTCACAACTGTCTCTAAACAACAGCCTGTTTATTTCCCTGCTTCCAGTAAGCCACACCACGTATGGCAGCATCATGACAGTCATTAGCTTCACCACATTTCTGTAGAACTTCCAATAAGATCAGTGGGATTGCACCAGCATCTCTCTATCCTTTCTCCACAGTAAATGCTCTTCAGGTTGCTCAGGCAAATAACAGAGCCAAAACAAGCAGTAAGAATCATCCATTACAAAAATTCCATGCACTTCAATTAGGGAAAGCTCTGGAGCTTGCACTATGCAATTAGCTACTGTATGCCAGGGTCCCCAGTGAGGCACGCGGGAGTTAAGCACATGCATAAGTCCCTGTTGGATTAGGGTTTATGCTTTAGAGCAAATCCTTCCACTGAAACAAAACTTCCTATCAGGATCTAGCCCTTAAACAATCTTAATGGGAGGAGGGTGCAGTCATGTTCCTACAGCAGGTTTTCTCATCTAATATAACTAGCTCAGTGCAGGACTTGGCATGTCCTGAGCAATTGTTTATAGCTCCTGCACAGCACATCTGCTTTGGGAGCTGATTTGTGACGGAAATCCGCTCAAGTAGAGATGGTAAATTTGATTTATTTGTGAAAAAGAAGAGAAGAATTCCACAGCAAAACAATCTGGGTCACAATGTACTTTGGATTACAGGATTTAGTGCAGAAGAAAAGGCCCAGACCACACAACCCAGATCCAGCTCCCAAGCACCACAAGTTTTGAGGTTAATCAAATCTAGGGCTTAGTTTATTCGTTTGTGAGGATGTCTGTGCAGCTTGGAGCTGACCCCACACTCGGATCTTCTCATCTCCCTGGGGCTCCCCTAGGACTGTGCAAATCCAAGGGTCAGGCACTGCTTCTGTTTGCTTGCAGCAAGCCGAAAGGCACATGCACAAATAGCTGGTAAAGCAGCCAGGCAGGCAGAGGCATTGGTAGAGAGAGCTGACTGTGGGTCCCCACGGGCCTGAGGAGGTGTGCAAGGAGGAATAGGTCGTGCCAGGAGGCAGGCATGTGGCTCAGTGCCATGGCAGCCAAGCTGTGTGAGGAGAAGGCCTTGTGTGTGTAGGGCGGCCTTTCCCCACTGCAAGAAGACCAGAGTGGATGAGCAGCCTGGTGTGGGCTCACCTGTCATGGCTGGTGAGAAGCGGATTTGCATGGTGAGGCAGTGCACTGGAGCCCACAGCGACATCTGGGCTCCTGCCTCTATGAAGACATTGGTGGAAGTGTTGCCCTTGTGATGTGACTGTAAGACCAGCAACGTTACTGAAGCCTCTTCTCTTCAGGAGAGCAGACCCTCCCCTCTCCTGTACAGCCCCTCACCTTGTATTCATTATGAAAGCACTCGTCTGGCAGCAGAGTTGGGTCCTACCTGAGTGTATAACACGAAAGAAAACAAGGACGACTACGACACCCCTTTCTGTAGAAGAATATATTATTTAGCAGATCAGTTTAAAAGTAAAAAAAAAAAATAAAATAAAAATCTGTACATCTTTGAAGGTTCTTCTTGATGCTGTCACTTTTTGCATTCCATTCATGAGGATAAAAACCTGCGCAGTGGTGCTGTGTGGTGCTCCCCTTTGCTTATGCCAAAGGACCCCTGACACTGCTGGGCACAAAGCAAACCTGTAAGTCCATGAAGGCTTCTTCTGACTTCTAGTGCAGAAAAGAAAACTGCATCCACTATGCTGGGCTTCTGAATGTACTGTGAACACTATAAAATTCATAGGATAATACAGAGAAATGTGTTATTAGGGCCTACCTGGCAAACAAAATTATCTGCCAGGCCCCTGTCATTACATAAGCATCTGTTAAGCTGTGCTGTAATAGCATACTGCAGTACAGGTATGTGCAGGATCTTGACTAAAACAAGTTTTCATTTGTTTTGGACACCAGCAGTTTGTTTAACAGAAACGGCTCCTTAGCTCAGCTCCACTTCGTCCCTGGAGACAGCAGTTCCCAGTGCTGGCCATAGAGGCAAACCCAGCAGGGAAGGAGCTGTGCCATGGCCTGCGTGGCACCGCTTGGAAAGGGCATCCATCTTGGTGTCCATCTTGGCCACCTCACCCCAAGTGTCATTTCTGCTGGATTCCGCCACGTCCATTTGGCAAATGCAATGTTTCTCAAGAAGAAAATAACTGTAGGGGCAACATTTTGCTCAAAGTCTTTTTCTTCTCACTTTTCAGTAGTGCCGGTGGTCAGGCTGTCACTTTTCTTCTTCTGCAGCTGCAACGAAGAACAAAACAGTATTAGCGCCACGGACTCAAACAGTGCAGCTTTCCACTGCTGAGACTCCAGCACCCAGCTCCCTACAATTTGTTGTACAGGAGGCCCTGTTTCATCTCAACAGCCCTGAAGTTAGGTCTGGAGGAAACAGAACTCAGTGTTTCTCATCATCTCTCCTGTTAGACTCTAGGGCTATTCGCTGACTCTCATTGTTTGAGGTGATGTCTGAATTCAGGCAGCTCTTATTTTTCTAAGAACTCTTGCAACAACATACCGTTAATTATAGCTCCATCCGTTTGTATAAACTTTCTGCTTTGACAGCTTCTATAAACAGAAGTAAAATTTCAGCTTGGCTTGAAAGATGAAGAGGTCATGGAAAATCTTGCTCTTATCTTATGTTCTTTTTCGCTCCTTTGAGCTCATAAAAGATTTTCTACTCCTTTATCACTCAGTGATCTAAAAACATACATTCTCTGATTAACCAGCCTTAGTATTTGTGCTGCTGAGGTTTTCCTCCAAACAACTTGGAAGGAGGTAAGATCTACAGCCAAAAGCCACCATTCCCCTCATCCATCCAGGGACAACCACGTGAATGAACCTTCATTTCCCATATATCAAGAAATATCAGCACAACTAGTACTCTGGGGCACTTGCCAATTTATTTTAATGACACAGTGATAGAGAGAGTCCTGTCTACATGATGAATTTTTTCATGTCAGAGAAAACCCCAGAGTGTGGTGCCATTTTGATAGGTTTTATTTACTAGTCTCAGCAGGGGAATGAAGCACTGGAAGAGACCTGCAAGGAAGGTGTATCTTGCCATAGAAGGAAAATATGCCTCAGTGGTGCAGTTTCTTGAACTGCACAGGCCCTGAATACCTTCCTGTTACCTAGCCTAGGCCAGCTCCTTCCAGGGGAAGGCAGCTTCCTCCCTGGAAGAAAAGCTTGCTGCTACACTCCCCAGGCCATTATCCCTGGGGCTGGCCTTCAGGTGTCCCTCCTGCTGGCATCTCCCTCCCCATGGTTGAGCTGGGGTGGCTGGAGGATGCCCATATGCATGCCAACAGTTTGTGACACCCACCTGCTTCCAGCTTGGTGTGATGAATATGGTTCTCACCTTTATAAGGATGCTGTAAGCATTCCTACTGCTTCAGAATTAAATAGCTATTAAATTGCAATGTTTAACTTACTAAATCATACCATTTGCTTTACGAAACAGATATTTAGAGCTTACCTCTTTCATAGCATCATCTATCTGTTTTAACTCCTCATAGCGGTCTCTGGACTCCCAAAGGGGCTGAAGCATCATCTCCTCCACTTCAGGGAATAGCTAGGTGAAAACAAGAGAGAGAAGTGCAACATTTCTTTTTGTATTCATAAACCTGCACCTGCTAGAAACAGACTAAAGGTAGACTGTGAAATGAATATCCCCACAGCTATTTGCACACATGCCAGAGCCAGTGTTGAAGCTCTGCAAGCTCCCAGGTCTGGTTCTGGCCTTGGTTGACCCACCTTTGTTACTGTCTCAAACATGGGGATGAGAACAAACTTCAGGAAGCCGATCTGTGCGGTTGGCTTGGTTACTTTATCACGGTCCATAAAAGGCGCCACTGGAAGACCCTCCGATTTTTCTCGGTCACTCTGGAACAAATTCAGGGTTAAAAAACTTTATTCTTGGCTAGAAGCCAAGAGAGCAATGTACCAAGGAGTCCACTAGCTACAGGACAGCGGTTTTCAGATGCAGATCTCAGCAACGTCTGGAGATAACATGGAATAGCAATATTCTTCCCTCAGGCTAATACATCCTGCCTCTGAATAAAGAGAACTCTGATTAGCTACATCTGCACAGCATCAGCAGGTATTCAACCAGAAATTACATGACCTTCTTTAATAATGATTAAAACAAGTTCTGGCTAGCTTGTTCAATGGAGAATAAATCTATTGACTGAAATGAGTTTATTAAGCTACCTACTTGACTGCATAACTCACTGTTTCTATGTGGATTCATGGGCAATGTCACAGACTGTGCTTGCAAAATGATCCTGTTGTAGACTTTCTCTCACCTACTGACTCTGTGAGCACAAAGTGCATTCATTGGGTGACTAAAACAGTAAGTTACACGAATATTGTAATTGTGACAAAAAAGGTGCAGATGCCGTGAGCTAGAAGTGTTCCTGACTCATCATTCAAGGCATTTGTCTCTTGCGAGATGCTGTGTTCAGCTGGGAATCTGGTAAGGAACAAGGGTTTGGGGAGCTTAAATCTGACCTTGCACACCTCAGCAAGTCTTCTGCTTTCTCATTCGAAAATGTTCACGCATTAAAAAAATAATCTGAACTAGTTCTCTTGTAACTTGATATCATTCACTTGACATCTTTCTTCTGCCATTGCTCTTGCCCTTTTAGCTCAAAAAACATTTCTATGTCAAACAACCTTGAAAGGCTGCTAGAACAAGCTGTCTGCTAGCATTAGGATTTCTAGGTTGCTGTTGTCTTTCCTCTATGATCTACAGTCAATTGCATTCACTTGCATTCTGAACAGCTTCTATTGCTGACATGCTGTCCTTCCATAAATGAACCCTTTCTGTCCTACAGATAGCCTGGCCTATCTGGCAGCAGAGCTCTCATGGCTCAGGTGGGATGCAGCCACAGCAGCTGGCTGTGGAAGTGTGCTGCACCTTCATTCTTACCTGCATAAAATATTCCTCTAGCAAGCAGTCTACCCAGGGCTCAGCGACTTCCATTGGGCGGACTTCATTGGAGATATCACAGCATTTTATCAGTATCATCTTCAGCTGAAAGAGGATAATACTTTAATACTGCAGTTTTCATGCCAGCTCTATTTCTTCCAGATAGAACACTTGTCTTCATAACATGGTGAAGGGAAATGCTCTCAAACAGAAAGGACAGCTTTAGGATTAAATGAGGGTTCTTAAATGGATTATATTCCACTCTCCCAGTTACCCTGTGTAAATTACTTATCTATATGCTCTCTGCCTCAGTTTTTTTGCCTATAACATTGGGATGAATCCCAGTAGGACATGTGCTTCTTGCTGTGTGAAGAGGATCAACCCTGAAAGACCACGTACTCTTTGTGGAACAGCATTCAGAGGCCATGGAGAATGTCTTCCCTGGATGTTAAAGGCTCCAGGATTTTTAAAGCTGGAGTAGTCTATTTTCTATAGAGAAATTCCAAATTTTAAATATTTTTGGTGAAGTAGAAAATTGGTTTTTAACAGTGTGTTTTGAATCTTGATTTTTAAACGAATGAACACTCATCTACAAGAACAGAAAAATGATAATCCACAAAATCTCCTTACGCAGGTCATGTGTTCTTCATTTGAGTAATCAAAATTTTCCATTTTTTCCTTGAAAGAGTCCAGTATTTCCGCATGTCTCGCCATGTCGGTAGCCAGAATTAATGTAATTATCCCCTAGGAGAGAAAACATATTAATACATCAGTTTGACATTCTTTGTAAAGTCTATTATTGCAGAGAAAAATAGAGGCTTGTGCACAGAAACCCTCAGATGATTACACTGTTAAGACTGATCAGACCTGAAATCACCAGGGAAACTGGAAAAGAGTTACAAAGAGTATATGAAAATTTCTGTAACTGGTGTGATATTCCAAAGCCATTGAGATTTTTCCTTTCTGATTGACTAATTGTGGAAAGAAGCTCTACAAAGGGATGTTAAAGGCCACTTTCTATTCACCAAGATCCACTTTTGGCCCCTTGCAAAGCAATATGTACTTTGATACTGACTCTTAACAAAGTCAACACAGAAGAGAGAAAAAACAGTAGATGTGGATGTCCTCAGTGCTCATCCTCCTTGTTTGAAGGGCTTTGAAATATCCAGCTGCAACTAATATGGTAGAGCTTTGTTTGCTCCTGACAGACATGACTTATGATGGGAAAATATGTGGTTAATTTAAAATTGAAGATTTTTATGCAGATTAGACCATTTGTGGCTCATGCCTGCTTCTCATGCATTGGCAGAATCAATGGCTCGCAATGGACCAGCACATGAGCCCTTGCACTGATCTACTGTTTCAGCTGGTGTGCATCATGTATAAACTAAAAATAATTTTTGGTCCTTACTGCTCTAATGGGAATTCTAGCACTGTTCCTGGTCTCAGGAGTAGCCATGACGACTCTCAGTCCACCAGAGCCTCTTCCAACAGTAGAAGTGTTCTTTTGTTGAGCATCTTTTCCTATTTAGAAGCCCCACATTTAAAACTAATGCAATATTCTCTTAAAGCATAAACTTCTGGCATGAGAGCAATAATCCCAGTCAGAGCTAATTGGCTCCTTCAAAAAATGTCATAGTCTTTAATAGTCAGAACGTGCTCATTATTTCTTAGCAAGACATTCCAGGGAGCGCTCCTTTGGAAATTTTCCAAGGATCCCTTTTGGATCCTCCCAGTGTGAGGGGCTTTTTTCAGTCCTACCTTCTGGGGACTGATGCAGCACCGCAGCCTTCCCTGCTGTGCATACTGCATCTCCAGGAACAGTCTGTATTGCACAGATGGGACCGGAATTCATACCTGTCTTATCTGTTTGAATTGGTCCTGGTCAACATTGGAGAAAATGTTGTATTCTGGCTGGGAAATGATCTGGAAAGCCACAGCACAGTGATGGTTCTCCAGTGGGGAGATGTCATTGTAGCGTACCGCCAGCTCCGTTCGTGCATTTATCTGATAGCTGATATAAAGAAAAACAATGAGAGCTCCTGCAGACGCACACCAGCTGCTTCCTTTTATTTACATTCTTCTGAATACTTATTCAATTAGCTGCAGTTCGGTTCTTATTGCTAATACTAAATTAGATTTTTAGAGAAGACGGATATTACTTTAATATCATCTCAGGCACTCTTCCCCTCCACTTATTTATTTATTTATCCTATTTAACCAAGTAGCTTAAAATGACATGAAGCAAACACAGAAGGAACCTGGCTTCATCCAACTCCTGCTGATGCTGACGGACAGATTCTTACTGGTCTCAGTCAACTGAGTTCTGTGCTTATTTAATGAGTATCTGCAAATGTATTAGATTATCACATTTTGTTTTTCATACGTGAATGCACACAAAGGTGACCATGTGTCAACAAAGCTATTTTCCAGTATGATAATAAATAGAATAATGTACATTTCATCATTTGTAATTGCAAAATAATGTGCAAGTCAAATATCCCTTGGCACTTTTTCTGCAAATATTCCATCTTGCTTAGCAGAACTATACCCATTTCTGCACTCATTCTCTCCTCTCTGAAATATTTACCTTGTTTTCTCAGGCGCTGGGGGAAGATCTGAGGCAGAAATATGAAAAAGCCTTTTCTTTTCAGAGCCAAGGCCAGCTGGCAGCCCCAACCCAACCTGAGCTTTCCTGCCTTGGCCCATGTATGAGCTAGCAGTAGGGCCTTGGGGGAAGGCCACTGCCAGCTCAAGCTGTGAGAAGGAAAACCTGATCCACCAAAAATGCCGGCTGGCCTTACCTCCCCAACCGAACCCAAGGCAAGCACAAGCAGACTTACGTGTTGTTATAGCCTGGATGGTCCAAGTCGTGGCACACTGCTGCCGTCATGAGAATCAAGATGTCAATTTGGGAAAATTTCTCCTGCAAAATAAACACGTTAATGTAGCATTGTGATTTCTATTAAGTCTGTCCCCAGAAATGAATAGAATTGAAAAAAAAAACCACATTTACATTTCAAGGAGAGGCAAACTGAGCAAAATGAAGTATTTTTCTGTATGTCAGTTTATTTCAGTGAAGAAAGAGAATTCCGCCTTCCCTTCCAGCAGAAATGACTCAGATTTGCCTTTGTTATATTAAATAGCAGCAGCACAGAGAAGCCAATTTTCTCAAAATTTATTTCAGAGATGATATAAAAGCACTGAGATAGTACCACTGTCCCTTACAAGTCACCTGAGCATCTTGATAAGTTAAGGCAGGGCTGGGGCATAGCTGCCATGACATGCTTATTAACTAAATCCATGACAAGAGTGAGAAAAACTAATACAGTGTCTTCTGAATAGAATGAACTTCCATTCAGATAAGTTTTTCTGCATACTCTTCCTGGCAAGAAAAGCCAGAAACTGTATAGCTATGGAGAAAAAAAAAAAAGAAACAGAAAAAAAAAAAAGAAAGAAAAAAAAAAGGTGATTTTAACTGAATCAGATCTGGTTTGCACAGAAATATGCATACCTGAAGATTGCAGAGTGAGATCATGCTGTACATCATCTGGGTCACACAAAAGCAGTGCCGGAAATTGTGGAACGGGTTGTTTCTGTAGTTGTCATGAATGCAAAGCTGTGGGGAAAGGGTGCAGAGTGGTCATGAAGGAGAGTCATTTTCTTTGTGAAAATATATATATGCGTGCTTTTCGTCCCTCCTGTAAACACCCTTTGGCTCCACAAAGCCCTGCAGAGCCCAGCATCCTAATGTGCTAGGACAGGGCGACAGCTCAAGGGTCTGATTCTGGGGAAGGATAAGAGATTGCTGTCTTCCAGGTCTGCTGGCAGATGAAGCCTGCAAGAAGTGCAACCCAGGCTGGAGAGAGGGCACTGTGCTGTGATACTGAATTGGCATTTCAAACTGCACAGCGGGTAAACATCAACAGTGTGCAGAGAGCTCAAAGTACACCCCCCAGAACCCTTCTTGCTTAAAGCATCCTTCCAAAGGATAAATTTCCTATAAGAGTCCTCAAGCCTCATCAGGATCAAACCCTTCAACTGGGGATCTGCCTTTTAGGAGGCCTCAAGGCTCTGTGTGAATCCAAGAGACCTTTGGGTTTTCAATGTTCATGAAATATTTGTCGGCTTCACTGCAAAAGCTCTTTTGCAATATGGACTTCAGAAATATGTCATTAATTTATATTAATAACTCATAGAATAGTTTGTGTTGGAGAAGACCACAAAGATCAACCAGTCCAACCATCAGCCCACCCCCACTGTGCCCACTGCCCATGTCCCTCAGTGCCACATCCACACGGCTCTTGAACACCTCCAGGGATGGTGACACCACCACCTCCCTGGGCAGTCTGTGTCAGTGCCACACCACTCCTTCTGAGAAGAAATGTTTCCTGCTATCCAACCAGGCTTGCGAGCGGTGGGTGGCATCTCACAGCCACCGCATGGACATGTGGCCGTGCCCAGGCACTGTACGGCACAGAGGGATGTGATGTATACACTACAGCAGAGCTCTGCACATCCCCGGGGAGTCCTGACTCAGAGCACTGTAGTGACTGGGCAGTATTAGTCATCCTTCCTTCTGCTTCCTGGAACATTTCCATAGCCAGCGTATGTAGCAGTAGGAAAGCAAGTGTATGCAGGAGGTGGCTTTTTCTCATCCACTTACGTTCAAACTGGTGCCCACGCTATGCCTGAGGAGGTGACATAGTGGAAGCAGAGTCCTTCGGGTTTTTTAATCAGCCTTCTGTGAAACTGGTGTTTGAGAGAGGAATCCTCTCCCTGCTGTAGGTTTGTGCAAAATACGTACAAAGCTCCTCTTATTGTTCTCAAATGCTAGCGCTAGCAAATGACTCGGAATGCAGACTAATAGGAAGCTGCCTGCTGTAGTGCTGGTGGGTAGCATGTTTATGTGTGTTGACATATCACCTTGTTTCCTGTGTTTTCAGGCTGTGAGACGGGAGGAGGAAATTTTCTGTTTTATCTGCTCTGTCTTAGCCTTGATTATATTGGGTTTCATCCTACCCTTTTTGTTCATCTGCTTTTTAAGCTCTGCACTACTAACCTTTTCATCTGCCTTCTTTGGGGAGAGATTTCCCCTGTCTTGATCATTTTTTCTCTCCCAATTAGTGTATTCATAGCGTTCTTTTATAATGGCTAAACCAGTCCTACATTAGCTCCTACAATAAGCTCCAACCTTATTCCTTATCTAGAGACCTGGCAACATCAGTCCATTTATCTCTTATTCCAGCTCTAATCACTCTAATGCCTTGTTGGAATCAGCCCATAGCAGCACCCCAAGCAGGGATAACTTCAGCCCTGTGCGTGTTGCTGCTCTTGCTGTTCTTGTTGGAATGAGGTTTTGTGTTTCCTAGACACCTTCTGTATGGAATTTATTAAGTCCTTTCTGGAGGTAATCATTCAAAGCAACCTTCTCCATTCTCGGCATACTCTTCAAATAATTAGGAGAGACTGTCGAGACATAATTCTTCTTTACCAGAATCATATGAAACATCCATACAATGAACATGATGTTTTTAATTCTTATTTAGATCAGCTTGCTGACTGGAGGAGTAAGTTTTACTAACTGTAGCTCAGAGTGTCATCAGATCCTTCTTAAATAATTTGGCAGAACATCTACTGTTCCTCGTCCTCTAGGAACACAATGGGTTTTTCTGAGAAAGCCAATGTTAAGCTTTTTAGAAATTTGTTTTTCTTGTGCTCCTCCTTGGATCTGATGCCACTGATTTTTTAATGCTCCAGTGCCTCTTCAGACATCTTAGTTTTGGTATGCTCTTGCCCTTTTCATGTCTTTTATCTCTCCCACATTCTCAACAATAAAGACTAAGAGAAAGAAAGTTATTTAGCTTCTCAGCAATTCCTTTTCCATCCTGTCTTGCTCTTTTACTCCTTGTGATTTAACACATCAAATCACAGAAACACAGAATCATAGAGGTTGGAAGAAACCTCTGGATATCAGTAGTCCAACCCCCTGCTAAAGCAGGTGACTCTACAACTGGCAGGCTGTGCCAGTGCTCTGTCACCCTCACAATAAAGAAGTTCTTTCTCATTTTTGTATGGAATTTCCTGTGTTTCATTCTGTGCCTGTTTCCTCTTCACCTGTCACTGAGTGTCACTGAAAAGAGCCTGGCATATCCACTGGATTCCCATTGTTTAGATATCTATAAATTGAGGTTTTCTGGCCATATCTGAAGACACCCATCTCTGCTTCCATTTGGTACCAAGAGCATTCACTGAAATGAACTGCTCTCTGCAATAGAAAGCTCAGCAAACCAATGCATGGCAAAAAAACTGTCATTAAGAATTGTGATCAGTGACCACAAGAATGCAAACATTTGCTGAAGGACTTACATTTTAAGAATTTGTATAGTTTACTGCTTTTAGAGGGATAACTTGTGTGAGCCAAATGAATTCCTCGTTTCAGTATTTTGTTTTGTACTAGAAAGATTGCAAACATCAGTAATTTGAAACACTTACCAACCACCTCTTTAATGTGATGGGGTTGATGTTGAAGTCTTTGACCAGTCCAAGATCATGGTACATATGCTCCAAGCAGCTCAGCATCTGCAGCCAAGGAGAGGTTATTGGCATGGTAAATGTCAGTTGGGTTTATGATATGTTGCAAAGTGAATTTCCTCCTTGTACACATTGAGTAATTGCATGGCCCTCTTGTCAAGATGAAAGAAAGATGTTTGAAGATTGCATGATTAAAAACAGTGCAAGAGGGGAGGCAGAAAGGCTCTGAGAGCTTTTTGAAGTAGACAGATTGCTGTGGACTTCATAGGTTTTGTGCTAGGGTTGGAGTCATAGCCCCTCTCTTCAGTAATGGTGATTCATGTGAATCACAGCAATTCCTTCTCATGAAACAGTATAGCCATTTTTCTAATTCAGGAGGGATATGGTCTTGTTCTAGTGCTCATTTAAATCAGTGATGGAGATGGCTGAGGTTCTAGTTGTACAGAAAATGACAGCAGCAAGCAAGGTATCTTTGAAGAAATATATCTACATCTTCTCTCCTTGGGAATTTCTGTGCTCTATAAACAACTTTTTTAATACAGATTTCCTTTCCAATAGAAGACCTCTGGTTTCAACGCTACAAAAACAGGAGGTTTGTGAGCACCCTAAGCTCTAGCTGGGACTTCTAGCAGCTACGATGCACAGATGGGCTGCTCCTTTGAATGCATCTAATCTGCAGCAGGAAGGGGAAGGCAGGCACTGCTGCTCCCAGTTCATTTTCAGGGTTGGAAAATATTGCAAATGAAGGGTATCAATATTTAGGTATCTGGGAGCACAGCAGCTGCCACCTACTAGAAATGAACAGATTACTGGGAGTTCAGGAGTGCATGTTATTCATATTTCCATCTCTGAAGGCAAAATCTACAGAGGATAAATGCATTCACTACATTGGCCTGTTCTCTGATCTCAGACTATGGTTCTCAGACTGTGGACTGAGCTAGGAATTTTAATATGTTGAGTATAATGTCACAAATGTGGCCTTGGAGATATTGGGTCTCTTTTAAACTCTCCAGAAAAAAAGAAAAAAGTTTTCATCTATTGAATTTTTATGCTTACCCAGGGAATACACAGAGTTCACGCAGTACCAAGGGGGCTGGCTTTGAGTCATTCAAACAGAAAGAAAAAGATTTTCTTACAAGACCAGAAGCCACACCACGTGGCCAGGATTCTGCTGTAGATCTGTTGACTTGTTCTTAGCCCATCTGAACCACAGAAATTAGGGTTTGCAGCCTGCCTGCTCCACATGGAGCACATGGGCAGATGCTCACTGCTAAATAAGCATTGACAGAATTGAAATATTTCCTGTAAACATGAACCAGAGCAGAAAGGCTGAGACAAACCCATATGGTGCCCTGCTCTCATGCTTGCACAGCATATTATTGCAGAGCAGCAGGCCTCCTCTCAGAGCGTGCCTGATCTCCTCACCCTCCTGTTAGCCTCCTTCACGCCACCAGATAGTGTTTCCTAGTACTTTGAATGAGTTACTGTGCTAAAACTCTATGTCTCAGCACACAAGAATCCGTAGATAATGGTTTTTGCCTGTGGTTTGTCCCTGTTCTTTCTTAATAGCCAAAGCAATGAGCCAAAATGCTGTGGTTCACCTGGCAGGTCATAATTCTGTCTTGCTTTAAAGAATTGACAGCCATTCAAAATCTGGAGGCGAGCCATCTTGTATGGCTGTGGTATGTAAGAAAAGGATGGGGAAGTAAGTGGTGAACACCAGCCATGGCTTGGCAAAGACCAAGGGACACTCTGCCAGCCTCTGCCAGGGAGACTGACCCAAAGGTACCAGAGAGTTCCTCTGTTCTCCCATCAGTCAGAGGCAACATCCAGCCGGATATAGGCTGCTTCTGTAGGAGAAGTGTGGGGTGTTTTTCCTTGTCATGTTACTATAGAGTCAGAATGACTTTTGTATGTTTCTTATTGAGACAGTAATTAAAGTAACTGCAGCTGGAGATGCTTCTAGAACGACCCAGCAACAGCAATAAGAAAAATAAGAAGATAAATCAGTAAGTACAGACTGATAAGTTCATGCAGCCTCTTCACAATGCCCTGCAGAAAAACCCTTTCCTAAAGGGATGTGAATCAATGCATGCAGCTCTGCCTGCCTTCATGCGGCAGCATAAAGCTCCACTGATTTAAGCAAAGTTACTGCTGGTGCCCTGAAGCATGTACTTTGTTAGGGATGGAACTGTTCAGACCAAACAGCACAGGAGAGCTCCTATGGCAGAAACAATTGTGGAATGGTCACTCTGGGACATTACTAGGAAGAGATTAAAGTAAAAATAAAGAGAAGTTAGAGTATCACAATCACCATATCAGGTATCTGTTAGGGAAAAGTACTGTGTTATGGTGTGAAATGAGAATGAAAAAAAAATACACTGAGCAAAGGGCAGGGGAAAGAAAAAAATGCTCAGGCCTATTTGAACGGATTCCTCTGGCTTTGCTGGCTCTCAGAAAGACAGCAAAACTAGCTTAGCAGGGCATCAATACCTCATTGGGCTCCCACAACCAGACATCAAATGTTGGTTTCCGAAGTGCTTCTATGGTCTCCTGGGACAGCATGTACTGTGGACAGAAAGGCAGCCAGAGTTAGTGAGGGCCCCTTAACTAGTCTCAACCACAGGGGATTTAGCTGGATTTCCCAAGGAAAGAGCAACACATCTTCTACTTGCCAGTGGCTCGCTGCTGGTTGGCTGAGATAGAATCATAGAATCTTAAGTAGGAAAAGACCTCTGGCATCATTCAGTTCAATCACCAGCTCACCTCCACCATGCACACTGCCCATGTTTCTCAGTGCCACATCCACACAGTTCTTGAGCACCTCCAGGGACAGTGACTCCACCACCTCCCTGGGCAGCCTGTGCCACTGCCTCAACACTCCTTCTGAGAAGGAATTTTTCCTAATGTCCAAACTGAATCTCCCCTGGCACAACTTTAAGGCCATTCCCTCTTGTCCTATCGCTGTTACCTGGGAAACAGGAGGGAGGGGTCTGGAAGAAAGAGAGGAGAGCAGAGGCGTTATGGTTGGGCTCGAGGGTAAATTTGCAAAGGGCACAGTGCACAGACTGGCTGCACTAGCACGAAGCATTGCAACACATGGTGTAGCTGGTCTCAGAGAGATGCTGCAGAGCTGGTGCTTGTAATGCTAAATTAGCTGGCGGGTGTGATACATCAGCTTTGGAGTGATTTATGCTCTCACTTTGAGTATTTTTTTCAAGAATGCCCATGTTTTCAAAGTGGTTGTCAGCCAGTGTGGTTAGAGCAATTTTTTATCGTTATGCTCAGAGGCTTTGAACAAAATGGAGCTCATCAGTCAGTTACAGTTTGTTTATGAAATAAAAAGAAGGAACGTGGAGGGCTAAAAGACCAGTCCATAGCTGCTCTTTCCTGAATCACATTTTTGAAGCTCTGTTGATCAGAGTCTCTCTGGGACACGAAAGCCTTGTAGCTTTAATTGGCCCATTTACTGTGGCTGTCTCTAATTAGTTTGGGCTTACTGCACTGAGCAAGTGAATGAAATTTTCTGAGTCTCAAATTGCTGATACTTAAGGAAGATAACACTGAAGATGAATGTTCCTTCTCAAGAAGTCAGTTATTTTTGCTTCTGAATATATAATATTCATGTAATCTGATGTTCTGCAAGAAATGAATTGGTTGTACTGATTTGTTATTTGGTAACATCTCCTTTCAGCGGATCCATCAATTATTAGCCTCACTTGAAACTGGACAAATCCAGTCCCTGACAAGTAATAATGAATCTACCAAATTCATCTAACAGAAGCCAAGCTCCCTCTGAAACTAAAATCCCTGTGAGTTTTGGTCCCCGGGCAATACAGACTACTGGCTTACCCTGCAATCACTCAGTACAACTGTAGTTGTTAATTCAAGGTCCTAATATAATAGCAATTGATCTAAAGAAGTTGATCTGACCTATATACTTATCAAGGGAAGGAAATCAGTTTTACAACTGGTATGTTTTATGGAAACATGCGTTAGTGTCAGGAACTCAGGACTAATGGGTTAATGAAAAGAAATGTAAGGTGTTTCCTGATGCTACTCTCTAAAGCTCTAAAGACCAATATGCAAGGATGCATGTCCACATTACATGCCTTGAGAGCAACCAAGGCAGCTTTGTGTTGTTTGCACACAAAATGAGCTGGTGTTTTGTCAAGGTGTGTGCTGGGCATGGAGCAGAGCACACCTGGTAGCTCTGAATAAGGCCTTTGGGCAAAGGTGGCTGGTGCAAGGATTGAAGGTCTGGTGTGCTTCATAGTTCCATCCACATTCATCACTGTAGGTTTGTATTTCTACAAGTATTGCAGTTTTCTCTCGCAAATACACTAACCACTTTTTGCAGGAACACTGAAATGGCCTAGAGAGAATCCAGTGTTGCATTTTCTCTTTGTTTCCTTAGGTGAAGCATCCCCATAAATTACTTTTTAAATTAAGAAATAATCCATTAGGAGAAACCTGGCAGCAGCACTGTTTTTAATTAGAACACAGCACTATAGGCCTGTCTGATTATTTGCTACGTGAATGCAGAATAAACAACTAAACAAAATAGCACTTAATGTTGACAGATGCAAAATATTCATTAACACCTCAATCACAAATGAGCTTTCAAGAATTAAAAATTACTGAGGAGCCGACTGTAAGATTCCCATGGGCAATGACTGCTTTTCTTTTAGCTTCCAGTGATTTTGGATCAGGCCATGGGTTTAGCAGAGCTAGGAGATGGGCAGTGAGGAGACAGGCATCATAAACCAGCATTTGTCAAGGCTGTTGTGAAAGCAAGCATTGCACCATACCTTTGGGTAGGACGGCACATCTCGCCGGGGTGTTGGCCTCTTGTTTTCATCCAAAAAGCTGTATTTGCAGGGACAGGTAGTCCTGAAATGAAATATTCAGGGAATGAAAAACCACAGTGCCTCAATAATGGCCAGAAGTATTGAGGTATCATAGTTAGCATTGCCTGGAGAGCTGTGCCTTTTCCTAACTTCTCCTTTCTACTTTGCTGCTGCTCAAAAGCTTTAAAAGTGTGATCCTCTGTAGGATTTTCTCTTCTTGTCCATTGCCCTTCTCGCTCTTTCTCTGTGAATTTGAATTTGAGCAAGGAGCACACATAGATACTCCACTGCTTCTACTTAAACCAAGTAACTTTTCTTTCAGTGAGCATCTTATGTTTGCAGATGCTATGATGGAGACCTCTAGAAGACCCTAAGACTGCGTCAGAACTGGTAACCATCTGTTCTGATGGCCAGACCAACTCAACTGCTTTCCCTCGGGTGGGACAGCAGCACTGAGGCACCAAGCTCAGCAGGCATGGTCTGCTTGGCTCCCTAATCTTGGAGAATGGGAATCACTGTTAGCAATTACAGGTAAACATTTTCCTGGTCACTAGCTGGATACTCAGCACTAGAAAAGATTGCCCAGAGAGGTGATGGATGCCCCCTCCCTGAAGACATTCAAGGTCAGCTGGATGGGATGCTGAGCAACTTGGCGTAGCTGTAGGTATCCCTGTTCATTGCAGGGGAGTTGGGCCAGGTGGCCATTAAAGGTTCCTTCCAACTGAAATGATTCTATGATTCTGTGATTCCACTAACACAGATGCCAGCTGCCTACTCTTCCTCAAAGTTTAGAAGCACCAAGCTTGTTTTATCCCATCTGAGCAGAGGGCTGATCTGATGGTGGGAGATGCCAACAGTCTTTGCAGGACATCTACGCTGCTGCAATTGTAGCCAGCTGCAGAAGCAGCTTCATAGCCACAGGGGCACAATAAAACTGATGGCTCCATAGAGTGTCCCCCGGCAATCACGTAGAGGTTTTTAGCTCAGCATATGTTTCAGCAGTAGCTGATCACATGGGCTCTGATAACTCTCATGTGATGTTGATCTTGCATTTTGCATTTCTCCCACCACTCCTAGCATTTGGATCACCCCTTCTCATTTTTCAGCTTCCCCGACAAACAAAGCCAGCTACACGATTTGACCCTATATTTTTTCAGAATTTCACAGATTTCACATCTCTTAGCATCTTCTCCGTTGGGAATTTGATCAGGTCTATTTTTCTGCTCTTAAAGTTGACCTCTGATACAATTTCTCTTTTTTTTTTTTTTTTTTTTTTTTTTAAATCTGCCAACAGAGATACGTCACAGAATCACAGAATGGTTTGGGTTGGAAGGGACCTCAAAACCCACACCACCCCAACCCCTGCCGTGGGCAGGGCTGCCCCCCACCAGCTCAGGCTGCCCTGGGCCCCATCCAACCTGGCCTTGAGCGCCTCCAGGGATGGGGCACCACAGCTTCTCTGGGCAGCTGTGCCAGCGCCTCATCACCCTCTGCCTCCTGCTGCCCTGTTCAAGGGAATTATTAGCTGCAGAAAAGCTCTCTTCATCATTTTTAAAACGTTTTCTTCAAAATTCTGCTGTGAGGGGTGTTAGTGGGGTCAAAGTAAGGAGACTGGGGCACTCCTTGCCCTAAATGAAGCTGTTCTAGCTTTGGGCCAGACAACTGCCCCTATTTCCCAGCTGCAATAAAACATTAAAGCCTTCATCTGGCTGCACTGGGGAACAGAACAGAGTTGGGGTACATTGGACCTTTAGAAATGTAAATCTATATCTACAGATGATCATGAGTTTAAGTGCACTGCAATGCTAATAGCATGTGCCAGCATGAACACAAAAACAGACTGGGAAAAAAACACAATTTGAGTGGATGCAAGTGGGGTTGCTGCTCTGCAGGGTAGAGATACACATTTAACATGCATGGTGATTTTTCCCAACACAGTTGTTCATTGTTAGGGATGTGGTTAGGGGCATGGTGGTGATGGGCTGACGGCTGGACTAGATGATCTTAGAGGTCTTTTCCAACCTTAATGATTCTGTGATTCTGTGAGCCTGTTGGGAGGGGGAGCCAGTGCTTGTCCCAATGGGGATCTCATAGCAGCCAGGCCATCTAGAGCCCCTGCTCACAGCAGGAGACAAGGGGCACCAGGAGCCAGCCTGGCTGGGGCCAGTTGTGCAGGGCAGATGCAGCACTCCCTGCTCCTGCTGTTCTGTTACCAGGTTGCTGTTTGTGTTACAGAACATAGGCTGTAAAAAGGCAACCTGGGAGAGGAATGACTCATGGCTGCTGGAACTGCCTTGTACTTCCTGAAGCTTGTGGCAGCTGTCCTGAGAATGTGAACTTGCAAGCATTGCTTTTTGGCTTTACTCAACTTTCCTAAAGAGATTTCCTCACACACCTAGAAGGGACATGAGGCAGCCTGCAATCTGTCATACTGGTGTGCATCTGGAGAAGGTCTCCTGAGGTTAATAGCATTACTCTGCAGCGATGCTAGTACAATATCTGAATTTGGCCTTACTCTTAACAGGACTGCATTAACACCTTGCCTCCTGGCTTATGTGGATAGTGATGTTTATAAGCATTCCCAGCAATAGGAAATAGTTTTGATTAAAGGCCACCAAATTTGACCCTAAATAAAGAACAAGCAGACATCAGCACACAGAGCTACTCTTGTTGCAAAGCCCCTTCTGTCTGCACTCTGAGCAAGGAGCATCTCTCCAGTGACCCCCCCAGAAGTGCCCATGGCCTCTTAGTGATGATGTGCTCATCCTGCGTGGGCTTCCCAGTGACACTGGGGCAGAGCCATTGGCTGAGACCACATCCCCTGCAAAGTGCATTTTTTTCTGCAGTTCTTTTAATTGCAGCAAAACCGATCTTGAAAACAGCAGCAAGCCCTCAAAGTAGAAAATTCATTCCCGATTTCTTGTCAGAATTGAAATGGATACTGTATAATAGCATGAGATCATAATTAGAAAAACGGTTACACATATATTTGCCATATTCCCAGAATGTAGTTTGAATCTTACCAGAACTAACTTGAGCTCTATGCAACACCCATGGAAGCACAACACTCAGCAGAAGCCCTCATCCCATTCCTTCTCTCCCCATACATCTGGAAGAAGAATTCCCATTCTGCATGGTGGAACATCACTTTCCATTACAAGACCTGCTTCTCTATTCACATGGCTCCAACTATTTGAACAGATGAACGGCACTAGATCCACAAATATTAAATTCATGCAATGTTTGTTTCCTTACTTCCATCCTTCTAAGCCTGGCAGGCAGCTGGATCCTGCAGATATCTTGCAGGAGGGCCTGAAAGCAGCCGCCTATTGCTCTGCTAGGACTGGCACAGAACTTACCTGCTGCTTCTTGCTGCCATTTCCTCCCTCATCTTTTTAATATCGCTCTTGCATTTCTCAATCTCCACAACTTTCAGGCCTTCCACTGTCAACAAAGGAAAACACCAGGGGTGTTACCGTGGCAAAATCCGAAGGCTCTCCTTTCACAGTTGTGCAGAATTTCAAAGGGCTTCAATAAGGGAGCAGCCCAGATAGCCGGTGAGCCCCACACACATGGGTGCTGCCAAAGCAGTGTGCCATGGAAGCCCACAGGCATTCTTGGCTGCCAGCTTTAGATAATAGCATGAGCTTTTTAATTCGCAGACTGGCCTCAGCGCCTCAGCTTTCCCGCAATTGTGAGCAGCAGCCAGCTTGTTCTAATGCCTTCGCTTCTCTGCTGTAGAGCAGGAATCAAAGGAAATCCTGAGCAAAACCCCTTCTGCGATGGGATGATAAGTGCAGCTCGGCAAACGCGTCCCAGCGGGATTAGAATTCCCATTAAGATGAAAAGTTTTAATTTGAAAGGTCATGCAGAGCATTGAGAGGCTCTGAGAGACATTGCTGGGCACAGACAGTCCAAAGTGAAACTGCAGGAGAGAGAGAAATGTCGAAAAGTTTTGGCTGTAACCATTGATTTCGTTTTTATGTGTATTGAAGATCCGTCACTTGCCTTTGCCAATCAATGTTGTAATCAAAGGTTATTTCTGCATGCGACACAGAAAATCCTATATGCCCTCTCTGTGCAATTAGAAAAGCCACGAGGCGAGAAGTTTGATTGCCTGATTGTGCTGCAGCACTTCGGGCCATGCAGCTGGGACAGCCCCACACAAAGCGAGGGTGAGAATGTCCTCCCTTCCCTCTTGTGAGCTACCAGTGTGCTCAAGGACGGAACATGGCACCATCTGTGAGGGCCATGTCACTCACATGCCATCATTTCACAGCTCCTTTGTTCAGAATCATAGAATTATAGAATTGCATTGATCTGGAGGGGAGCATCCAAGTGATCAAAAGCTGTCTTGGAAGGCCACAGCTCTGCTTATAAGAAGAGACTGTCTTTCTTTGTGCAGGTAATTGCAAAGGCTGATCCTGGATGAAGAAGTAGGGAAGGGGGGAAAAAGAAGAGGTTGAACCAGGTCAAAAATTTTGCCTATCAGGAGAGGGAAGGGGAAGGGGTTTGGTTTGGATGCCCCATCCCTGGAGGTGCTTAAGGCAAGGTTGGATGGGGTCCTGGGCATCCTGAGCTGATGGGGGCAGGGACAGCCCTGCCCATGGCAGGGGTTGAGGTGGCATTGGCTCTGAGATCCCTTCCAGCCCAAATCATTCTGTAGTTCTCTAATTCTGTGATTCTGTGATTTATGCTTGACTATGGAGATACTAGCCACTTCTAAATCCCATTTTCAGATGAATGCGTATTTTTGCCTAGAGCTGTTGGAAGTAATTTCTTTGGGCAACTTCAATGTGAGGATAGAAACCAGATGCTGTCTGGTGCCCATGGGAAGCAGTGGGAGCAGAGCAAGGTTACAGCCCCACAGGGCAGGGGGCAGGCGGCTGCAGGGGGAAGGGGTATGTGGTGCAAAATGGCAGCCTTGAGCATTTTTCCTATTGAGTCTCTTTAACTTGCTTCCAAATCCTCTCCAGGGGAGCAGGGAATTTACACAGTTATTTTCTTAAGGTAGATGGTGTGTAAAGAGTTTTCCCTGCTCCAAAGAAAGTGGAACTACAGCATGGATCACTGCCAGTGCCTTCCTTGCACAGAGAACTTTTCCAAGGAGAACTCACAGGCTTTAGACTAGGTCTAAAAAATGCCTTAAAAGATCCCTCAAACACACTGCTGCATATGGGCTGTGTGAGATGATGGTCCTGTTGTGAGCACTTGCTCCTGCACACACATCCCACTGTAGAAGTCTCAGAGATCGTACGTGAGCATGGTGGGAAAGGGATCTCCAAAGGAGGTAAAACAAAAGCACAATTCTTTTCCCTGTTTGTTTGCAAATAATAAATGGCCTCATCATGTGTGCTGATGAAGGGCCCATTATATTATCCTGCATTAAGAAATACCCTCTGAAAAGACCCTGTGCTGTCTAAAGAAATCCTTGGACTGTGTCCAGCCTTGCAGCAGGGCTCTTGGAGCAGTCTCTGGGATCCCTGCTTGGATCGGGGGCTCTCCCTCCTTTCTGCTCTGCCTGGAGATGAAAGCTGTATGTTTGGCTCCATGGCAGTTCGGAGGCCCCACACTGAGCAGCAGGGTGCCTGCACTGCCTGGGGCTGACAGAGGTGACCTTGGAAGGGCTCCCCTGTGGCTGTCCCTGGAGAAGGACATTTTTCTCCCCGCCTTGCTGACAAAGGCATCTCTTTCACTGAGCAGCTGTGGGGTCGAGGTAGCTTCTGGTTGGGAGAAATTTCAAGAAAAAAACTCTTTCCATGAACCAGAAAATTTGTTGTTGGTTTGTTGATTCATTTTTTAGCTTCGATTTTTTTCTTTTTTTTTCCAGCCAGCCCAGTGAGAAAGTGTTTTCTGCAGCTGTAGAGGAGTGAAGTTTAAATGCTGCATCTCAATGAGGATGTGGCCTTTGGCAGCTGAAACTGCACCATGTGACAGTGCCTTATTCACCCTCCTACCCTGCGTTTCTTGGGCCCATTCTACACTAACAGACTGAAGAATGGAAGTAGGATGCTGCCTGGAAAGAAAAGGAGCTCTTTGGCCAGATGAACTTTACTTTGTTGTTGCACAGCAACTAAAAACAACCGTGTCACTGTCAGCTCACTCAACAAGCTGGGTGAGCTGGAAGTGATAGGTGAGCCTGCTGCTTGTGGCCCAGGGGATGGACAGGACCCCAAGGGCATGCAGTGACAAGAAGTAGCCCTTGGGGATAAGGGTCTGCTCTGCTGCACATGGAAAATAGCCCAGCCCCATTCCCAGCAGGAAAAAAGCAGAAAAAGGAGGGTGACATAGAGTTATCAGAAATAATGGAGTGGCAGGGGGGCTGAAACTGGGGATGGGGAGGGCAGGGTTGCAGGAGGGGTGCCCTGGGATGAGACAGCACGATGGCAGCAAAGGGACACTCACGTTCCACCTTTTTCTCCAGCATTGCCAAGTGATTAGCTACTTCCGTTTTCAGTTCATTGATTTTAAAAACCCTGGAAAGAAAACCCCCATGCATTAATGTCATACAGTTAGAGCTGCGTCAACCCTAGCTGCCAACTGCCAGAACCCTCCATGCTTCCCAGAGGGTCAATCAGACCGCTTGGGACTGCCATAAGGGACAGGAGATCTTTCATGGCAATGGCTCTGGGATTGCACTGTGGTTCTGCACCCTTCTGCGGGCAGCAACTCACTGTCGTGTCCCTCTGGAGGCAATGTAAACCCATAGCGTTTCCTAACGGCAATGTCTTGGTGCTGAGCTCTCCTCTGAGTGATGCTGGAGGTTTGATGAGATGTGATGAGGTTGTTCTGCCCTATGGAAATTATCAGCTATATGGATGCTTGCAAGTCTCCATTGAGGAGAGAGCTTCGTGTGTTAAAGGGGCGAAATGGAACACATCTGATGATTTCTGTGTTCTGCACATAAATATTTATTTTGTTTCTTAAGGGGGCAGAAACACAATAAGAGCATTTATATTTAATACGTGATCTCCTTTTTAGATCAAAGAGAAGCCAGGGCTGCTACTGGTTGAAGATACTGCACTGCTCTCAGCAGGAGGGCTGCGTGCATGGGGCCTGAATGTAGCGTGGGAGTGGGACTGCAGAGAGACCTTAAACACCCCTCTGCCTCCTGGCAGAGTTTCACTTCTGGCTGATGAAAGAAACACAATTTTAAATAAATTATGACATTCAGCGTCCTACCTTGAGAACTGCTCGGCAATCTGTCCCAGTAAATTCTGGAACAATTCTTCTTTCTCTGAAGAAAGAAAGAAACAAAAAACAGAAGGGAGATGTGAGAAAAAAAAAAAAAAAATATATATATATATATATATATATATATTTATATATATATATATAAAATTTTTATATATATTTTTATATATATTTATTTATATTTTTTTATATTTTTTTTATTTTATTTTTTTATATTTTTATATTTTATTTATATTTATATTTATTTATTTATATTTATATATATATATATATATATATACTGGAAAGACACTCAGCATCTTTGAGAAGGGGCTCTGTGATGAATCAAAAAGGCACTCTGGTCCTCTGAGAGGTGTCAGCATCGGGGCAGGAAGGTTGGACTCTGCTCCACTTTTCCCCTACTGCCTGCAGCTTGCAGGAAAACTCTGCCAGGAGTGTGCTGGGGTGTTGGGAGGCACCTGGTGTGAAAGCAGTGAGAGATCCCTTGGGTGTCCCCAGCCAGGACACCGGGCTCCAGTGCTCTGGGAGCAGGGAGGTGTGCACGCTTTGTACACACACTGCAAGTCAGTGAGCACTCCCTGCACTGAAACACCTCAGTGGCATTTCCTAAGCTACTTCTGAACCAGCACAAAATGAATGAGGCAGAAATGCAGCCCAGTGCTTGTGACATTCCCCAAAATAACAGCTCCTGTACTTGTTGAAAAGATTTGCAACCCTTCAGATCTGATGCCAGAATACTCCCTGGGATTATTTCTGCACAAAGCACTCTGCCTGCTTCCTCAGGTCCCAAAGTGGAGCAAGCACTCAGCGACTGGGGGACTCTCAGCAAACCCCCACGTTCCTGCTGCAGCTTAACTCCCAACAGAGCAGCTGACTGCAAGACCATATCCATTCCCATCACAAAAACCCGTTTCCCAGTTTCCTCACCCCTAAAATAACCCAAGTCCAGCACTGAAGGTCTGACGGAGCAAGCTCTGTGCCCTATCTAAGGAGGTAAGGAAAACTTACCGTGCACCGGGACGATGTGAGAGTCCAGTGGTGAGATTTAGCAGAGCCACCCGCGTCCTTGCCGGCACCGCTCTGAGCGCTGACAGCGTGCGGGAAGCTGGCGAGTCCCCGATAACACGGCTCCAGTAAGAGAGCAGCCAGGCTGCCTCTCGTTCCCTCCCCTTGTCAAAACTCACTGGGAGTACTGGGACGCTCTCATCCCAGGAACAGTCAGCTGCAATCTGATGTTTATGGATGTAATAAAAGACTTTCAAAACGAAGATGTATGTTTTTATAACCCTAGGGTGCAGTACAGATATATGACTAAGAGTGGCAGCTCGCCTCATCTTAAAGGGACAATGAGCCATTTCTCTGCCCCCTTCCTGTCGGAGGGGCGGACCTCCGGTAAATCTCAGTTCAGAAGAAAATGAGGCATTAAGTCGTGCTTGTCCCCTCTACTGTGGAACAGAAGGGACAAGTGTCCTTTTGCTCACAGAATCACTAAGGTTGCAGAAGACCACTAAGATCACCTAAGTCCAATCACTCCATTAGCATCTGCTCACTTTCACTCACTCTTCTGGGCAGAGCTGACACCCCAGGTGCCCATTACCACCTATGTGCCTCAGTTGCTTTACTTTTTCACCCCAATTTTCCCTTGAGAAAAGAGCAATCCCACCTTTGATTGCAGCTCCTATAGGCAGCAAGGCAGCAAGATGCCAGCAAGGCAACTCAGATGCCCTGCAAATCTGGGCTTTTTTTCCCCAGCCTTCAGGGCTGACGTACTGGGGTGCACCCATCCTGCCTGGTGGGGCACAGGGTGGTCCACCTCTTTTCTGCCATAGCCAAGCAATGCTACGAGAACATGGGTGTCTGCCCTGCTCCTCGTCCTCATGTGTACTGTGCCCTTGGTGAGGCACTCACCTGCGTTTCCCTCTCTGGGGTTTGTTTGGGGATCTGGGCAGTCGGAGGAATTTAGGAAACACACAGGCAGGTGGACAGGAGCCTTGAAAAGGAATTTGCATAAAGCCTGCATCCATGTTTTGCACAGTATTGAGTGCCAAACTCACTTGGCAGCTTGGGATAGTTTGGGCTGCGTGTGTATGCCCTGACAGGTGAGTCATCCCAAGGCAGCTGCCCCGCAGCAGGAAGCAATGGGGGCAGCAGCAGGGGCAACAGGGATTTTTCTCATGTGCTCTGTGCCTCTTCTCTCTCATCTGAGTCATAGGTGTGCATGTGCCTCCAAAAGAAAACAGGGATACAAAGACTTAGACATGAGGAGAAGCTTCTGTTGCTTTACCAGAAGCAAATATGTACCTGCACAGGACCCTGTACATTGAATTGTCCAGGAAAACCATGTGCTGAAGTGGCCTCTAGTCCCATCCGGACAGCAGTGAGAGCACTGCTCTCTCTGTGTCTCGTGGGAAATGGGATGTACATATTAGATACCCCACAAGAATAAGCCATAAATTGTGGTGTGGGGAGAGTGGGGACCATGCTCAGCAGATTTCATGTGCTTTTGGATGATATCCCCAGTGACATCCCTGGGCTTGCTTAGATAACCTAGGCATGGTTCAAAATCTCCAGCCTATGGTTCCTCCCATGCAGGACCACTGTGGGTCAGAACCTCTGAGCACAACGGGTCTTTCCTCCATGCTGTCACAAGCCTTGTAGTCTTCAGTTTTCCTTCTCAAGAGCGTGCTGCCAGCAGGATTTGTTAATTGCTATCTTCACAACATTGAATGAATGTGCCTGAACTACAATAACAACCTAAGCGGGGCCATCAGTTTGTGAGCTGTGATCCCACTCCACTTTGATCACACAGACCAGAGTCCCACTGCTGCTGGGAGGGATGAGATGTTGGAAGAAGGTTCTCTGCAGACCAGGTGAACACAGTGTCTGCCTGGGAATCCAAATGCCTCAAAGAGGGAGACAAGGGCAGGGGACAGCAGGTGGTAGATGCAGTAACTTCACAAACAACTGGTTGTGAGAGCACAGCTGCATCCAGCAGATGCTGGAGTAATAACCTCTTTAATTCCAACCCTCTCCCGTGGCTATGGCCAGGAAATGAAGAACAGTTTCTCAGTAGGACTCTGGTGGATATCTCCTCTGCTGGATGGAAGCCACTGCATGTATTTTCCTCCCAAAGGATCATCTTTTTCAGTCCCACCTTTTACAGCCTTTGTTCTGCTGAAGCATGGGCTGCTCTCATCCAGCTGCTTGGGAGACTGCTGGAAAGATGCTCAGGAGCTCCCACACAGTGGAAATGGGGTTACCCTCCTTGCCTTTGGAAGAGTCACTCTGGGAGGCAGAATCACATAGGCAGAGCTGTTTCAGAAGTGATGGCCAGAACAGAACTGTTTTTTCTCTTTTAATGAAGAACAATTTCCCACTCTGCTCATTCTTTCTACTCTCAGCAAAATGTCAGGAATGCTTAAGATTAATGACAACCCATGTGAAAGAGAAACAGACACCAAGGAACACTCGTTCCATCACACACAGTTCAGATTTCTGCCTCTTTCCATCGCAGACTCTGTTTTATGCTTTGGCAACCACCAGAATTTTTCTTCCCTTTTCAGCTCAAATTTTAGGAAAGTTTTGTTTTACAAAACATGGAGAGAGAGAGGAGACCTTGTCGACACAGTGAGCTGCATTCAGAACAAAGCAGAGCCATGGGCTGTCAGCTAGGCTGAAGAATGAGGGCCTTGGGAAAGTGTGAAAAGTCTTGTATGGTCTTATAAAAATATACAGCTAGCGTCACGTGGGGGGAAAAAAAAGAAAGAAAAAAGGATGTTTTCTATAAAGACCCTCATTCGGCTTCCCTGCTGGTACTTCACAGTGGCATTCCTTGGTGCAGCCCCACCAGCAGTTGCCTTTCTCAATCTTTGGCAGATAAATGCACTCCAATTGAGATCCCTCCTCTGACCTGATCATGCATGCGTGTAGTGTGTTGCTGCTCCTGCTGAGTTTGTTAGGATCAGGAAATAGTTCAGCAGACAGCTTCCTTCCCCTTAGTGGTCACGTGTGTCCCCTGGCTTTCACTGTTGACCTGGGACCTGTTTATGACTTGCAACAAACCTCTCTGTGATAAAGTTCTTCCTTGTTTTCCAGCTGCTCTCCTTTGCTCTCTGTATGCACAAGGGCCTCGCTGTTGCCTCTCAGAGTCTCCCTGGGCATCCTCCTATGTTGCCTTGCTGTGCCCTCTCCTGCAGATGTTTCTGCCACAAGGAACATGGGTGCATCATAGAATGGGTTTGTTTCCCTATCTTTCCCCTCTCTGAAAAACAGTACTCACAGACATTAGATTTTCTCACAAAAGCCTAAGCAAGAATAAGAGAATCATTTGAGTTGGAAAGAACCTTTCAAGTCCATCTTGTTCAACTCCCATGCAATGAACAGAGCTACAGATACATCAGGCTGCTCAGAGGCTCTTCAGCCTGATCTTGACTGTCTTCAGGGATGGGACATCCACCACCTCTTGGTGCAACCTGTGCCAGTGCATCAGCAGCTCTGTCCTAAAAAGCTTCTTGTATAGAAGCTAAATCTCCCCTCTTTTAGTTTGAAACACTTTCCGCTAATGACCCTGTGAAAGAGTCTTCCTTAGATAAAGAAAGGCCGCTCTCGTGTCTCCCCAGAGCCTTTTCTTCTCCAGGCTGAATAGCCCCAGCTCTCTCAGCCTATCCACACAGGGGAGGTGTTCCACTCCTCAGACCATTTTTGTGGCCCTCCTCTGAACGCTTTCCAACAGTTGCATGTCTCTCCTGTATTGAGGACTCCCCATCTGGATGGAGTACTCCAGGTAAGACCTCACCAGTGCAGAGTAGGAGGGCAGAATCACCTCCCTCACCCTGCAGGCCACACTTCTTTGAATGCAGGCCAGGATACAGTTGGCTTTCTGTCCTGCAAGGGCACATTGCTGGCTTATGTCTGTCCAACTTGCCATCCACCAGTACACTTAGGTCACTTTCTCCAGGGCTGTGCTCTGTCCTTTTGTCCCCAGCTTGTCCTGATAGTGGGTTCTGCCATGACTCAGGTGCAAGACCTTGCATTTGGATTTGTTGAACCTCATGAGATTCACCTGGCCTCACTGCTGGAGTCTCCTGGATGGCATCCTGTCCCTCAGGCATGCTGACTGCACAGCACAGCTTGGTGTCATCCACAAATGTGCTGAGTGTGCACTCAGTTTCCCTACTGGTGTAACTGATGAAGATGTTAAAGAGCATCAGTTCTAGTACTGATCCCTGAGGGACACCACTCATTACTGATCTCCATCTGGACATTGAGAAGAGGTGGGACCTGACACTAGCAAGGAAACAGCCAGACTGGTTTGCTCCTGCCTCGAGAGCTTAACTCATCTCTGTAAATCACTACTTTTTTTCCAGTCCCAGGCTTTCTGTCTCCTTCCTGCCCTTCCCACGTTCTCTCCATTCCCAAGATGATTTTAAACTCTTGTCCCCAACTCTTCTACCTTTCCATTTGACTCCTCCAGGCTGTCTCCTGCTGATGTACCCTTCCATCCCCAGTGTACAGCATAAGGTCCTGCTCATGGCTGCCTGTGAACCAGTGATAGGAGATATTGCAGTTACACAGATGTGGGCTGTCATAAGCTGGATGCTGTGCAAGAATTGCCCCAAGCAAACAATGTGCTACAGTGCCTGATCCTGACAGTGGACTGATCCTGACAGTGACGTGCAAAGAAAAATGGTAGAAGTGCCACTTCAGTCCTGTCCATGAGGGAAAACACCACTGTGCACCAGGGAATGTAATCCAAATGTCATCTTTCATCCAGGCCCCTTTTAATCATGTCATGTGTTTTAAAATATTTATTACACTCCAAGCTACCATGCCTGCAACAGAGATTCTGCTCCCTTCTCAGCCATTTGGAAATAACATGGAGTTCAAACACAGTGCTCAGCTTTTAGCAAAGGTTTGCTTAGAGATGAACAAAGCGCTGAAAAATGGGATTGCAAATGCGGTTGGCGATGCCCTAGCTGAACTGCTGCTCAAGGTGGGGCTTTCCCTGAGATATCAGCAATGTTGAGTTGGGCCTAAGCTAAGTGCTTTAGAAGTCCCCTGGGCCCCAGCCATTCTACATTATCTTCAAAGACTTCGAATTGTGGGAACAACTTTTTTTTTACTTTTCCTCCTGAATACTTTCTTTCCGCCATAGCTACAACCACGACAGTCATCTTTCTTGTGTCACAGCCATGTAATTTCCACATGGAAGTGACTGCAACCTCAGTTTCAGCAAATGCAATGCAAAAGGATTATTTACCTGAGAGCTGCCCAGTAGCAACAGGTATCACTTTGTATGGAGACCTGGAAGAGTTGGGGAGGGTTGTTGTTAGCAGTGCTGAGATTGCAGCTTGCATTTCACATAGGCATTCTCTGAGAAATATCACAGAGCTGTAAAATATCCTGAGCTGGAAGGGACCCATAAGGATCACTGAGTCCAACTCCGGGCTCCACACAGCACCAACAAAAATCAAACAATATTTCTGAGAGCAGTGTCCAGATGCTCCTTGATACTCCAGCATTCGGGTCCATGCCCACAGCCCCGTGCATCCCGTTCCCCGCCCACCGCCCTGTGGTGCAGCCCCTTTCCCTGACCCCCAGCTGCCCTCCCCTGACAGCTCCATGCCGTTCCCTCGGGCCCTGTCGCTGTCACACAGAGCAGAGCTCAGCGCTGCCCCTCCGCTCCCTGTGAGGAGCTGCAGCTGCCATCAGGCCTCCCCTCAGCTCCTCTGCTCTGCGCTGAGCACAGCGAGGGGCCTCAGCCGCCTTGCCCTCAGACCCTTCGCTATCTTTGTAGCCCTCCTTTGGACGGTCTCTAATAGTTTAATGTCCTTATATTGAGATGCCCAGAACATGGCATCATTGTTTGTGATGACAGTGACAAGTGATGATGGAATACACAATGAAATAAGTAAAAACAAATGTGGTAACTGCAAGCAGACAGGATGAAAATAAAAGTGCAAAGTTGAACAAGCAACGGGAAGCCAAGGAGAAAAAGAGAAAGGGATCTGAAGAAAGGAAGGGCTGACGCCAGCATGGAAGAGGCCCAACCTCATCAAAGAGTTGTGCCTTCACTTGCTGCTGAAGTCATTGTTGGTCCTAACAGAGCAACAAAGGCACTGGGAGCCTTGACAGCATGCGGAGTGGAATGGGAAACGATGTTCAACATCAAATACTTAAAAGCGCAATTTTTTCTGACTATAATTTCTATTTAACAATAAGCAAAAATTTTCAAAACTAGCTGGCGTCAGCACTTTGAGTTGGCATTCAGTTCTCTCCGTAGGCTTTCCCTGGAGAGCTGCTCACCTCGTGTTGCATACCAAGAGGCACCTGCAACCCAACACCCACTTTCCCTTGGGCATCACCAAGGGTAACCTGAAGAGCAGGTTACCATGAAACTTACCTCTCTGAGTTTGCAGGCATCGTCGGATCAATGGACACCATGCAATTATCTGCCGTCAAGAGAGAGATGGTTGTGTTCCTGAAAAGTATGTTCCACAGATCTTTATTTGAGCAAGAAACACTGGCTGAGATCTTGTGCTGCTGTGTACTACATGTAGCCAGCTTCCCCTATGCTATGTTCCTGACACTGCCCCATCCACACTCTAACTTGGTACAAGAAGGATCAGAGTAGGTTTGATGTTTCACCCATTTCAATTACCAGAGATGGTTTTGGGAAAATGTTGTATGATCATCTTTGATCTCAGAGGAAACTTTGCTCCCTGCTAACTTGTGTATGCTGTTGACTCATCAACTAATTTCTGCTGAAAAGCTATGTTTTGTAATACATCGACTCGGCAGCTATATATTGACTCATATTACACAAATGACTACCAGTTTTTAAATTATCTAGTTACTCCCTTACCAAAACAAACAAAACAGACGTCTTGCTGAATATGGAGCCTTTATTTTCATCCTGTGCTACATGTGATCTCATAGGCTCACATGTAAGCCTTGGATGTTTTCTTCGTTTCCAGGAGCCTGATTACAATGAACAATTAAAAGTTTTTACAATCAGGGTGGTGAGGCATTGGCACAGGTTGCTCAGAGAGGTGGTGGATGCCCTGTTCCTGGAGAAATTCAAGGTCAGACTGGGCAGGGCTCTGAGCAACCTGATGTAGCTGTAGGTGTCCCTGTTCATTGCAGGAGACTTAGACCAGATGGTCTTTAAGGGTCTCTTCCAACTCAAATGATTCTTTGATTCTTTGAAAAATTGTGGAAGATTGTGGAAGTCCTCTGATGAAAATAAAAGGCCAGATATGCTGGGAACACTGAATTCATTAACAACTCTGACCGCTAAACAGTGTTTCCTTGTTAATGGAGTGGAAGTACTTGATATCAGAGGCAAACAAGAGTTATTAAGGTCTCTGATGTCAAATTGGAAGAAAAGGAAAGGATAAACAGAAAAAAGTACTATGTGCAGCAGTCTATGCAAATTCCAAGTCAGTGCAGACTCAGAATAGACTACAAACAATGTTATCTTTCAGTACCAAACTAGAGTCATGCAGAAAAACCCCCACACGATTAAAGGATTATTTTCTTTTCCCTGTTTTTTGGTTTGTTTTTGTATTTTCTTTTCTTTTATTTTGGTATGATAAACTTGTATGTACAGAGATAAACAGCATGGCTTATTGAGTGCTGCTGCACAGCTTTCTACCACTGCTCGATGTCACCAGTGGACAGTGGATACTCTCTGATAAGGGTGGGGTTGTGACATGGCTGGGGGGACCGCCACCCCTTATTCTGTAAAATGGTTCTGAGGGGATGTTTTTTTACTATCTCATATCTGGGATTAGAATCATAGAATCACAGAGTCATTTGAGTTGAGAAGGGACCCTTAAAGGCCAGCTGGTCCAGCTCCCCTGCAATGCAATACAGCTACATCACATTGCTCAGAGCCCTGTTCAGCCTGGCTGTGAATGTCTCCAGGGATGGGGCATCAACCACCTCTATGGGCAACCTGTGCCAGTGCCTCACCACCCTTTTTCCGTATATCCAACCCAAATTTCCTTTCTTCTAGTTTGAAAACATTTCCCCCTGTCTTATCACAACAGATTCTGCTAAAGAGTCTGTCCCTTCTTTCTTACAGCTCCCTTTAGATACTGAAAGGCCGCTCTCAGATCTCCTCGGAGCTGTCTCTTCTCTAGGTTGAACAGATCCAGCTCTCTCAGCCTACCACTAGTCTGTAGTGTATCTAAATAGCACCTCCCCTATGAGGACAGAGTGAGGGAGCTGGGGCTCTTCAGCCTGGAGAAAGGTCCAGGGGGACCTTAGAACAGCCTTCCAGCACCTGAAAGGGGCCTACAGGAAAGCTGGGGAGGGACTTTTTATAAGGGCAGGTAGCAACAGGACAAGGGGAAATGGCTTTAAACTGGCAAGGGTAGATTTAGACTTGATATCAGGAAGAAATTCTTTACCGTGATGGTGGTGAGACAATGGAACAGGCTGCCCAGTGAGGCTGTGAATGCCCCCTTCTTAGAAGCAGTCAAGGCCAGGCTGGATGGGGCTTTGAGCTACCTGATCTAGAGGGAGCTGTCTCTGCCTATAGCAGGGGGTTGGAACCAGATGATCTTAAAGGTCCCTTCCAGCTCAAACCATTCTATGGTTCTATGATTTAGTGGCAGTGTTTCTCAGTGGTCTCAGGTTCTTTACTTAAAAATCATGTTTTATAATTATGATGGTGTTTCAGTCTCTAGGGACAAAAATGTAGTGCTGGGGTATGGGTGTAATTGGTAGATGCACAGAGCCTGCATATGCTCTTGGCTAGACTTCTGTGCTGCCTGTAATTTTTGTAGAATAGGCAACTAAGCACTCACCAGGGCTTTGTGCACTTCTCCAGCTGAGTTCTCTGCACAGCCCCCAAATTATTCCAGCAGTCTGGAATAAAAAAGAAGCCTGGAAAGCAGGTAACCAGATCATTTGGGGCCCAGCTTTAAATTGTCCCTAGGAGTATCAGAGCAATAGTGAAATGCATGTGATAAATGAGTCTTACCTTGGTAACCCTGTTGCAATGCAGAAGAGGTCCATGATATCCCTGGAGTTGCAGTACTTACTGAAGATCACCTTCCAAACAGAACAACAGAAGGAGAAAAAAAAATGGCAGAGGAGAGAAAGGACAGTTAGTTCCCAGTGAGATATGAACTCTATTCAGGCTTGAAGTGGGACAATGTTAAGGCTAATCTTATCATTTTAATTATCTGATCTGACTCATGAGCTGGAATATTTCTCCCCTCTAGCTTTAATACCTGTGCTTCATTTTGATAAAGGAAGAAAGCTCAAGAGACCTAATTGTGCTGCTCTGAAGCAGAGCAGTAATGTATGACGACTGATGGCAGAAGGTATCTCACAATGCAGATGAACTGCAGGATGGCAACAACCACAGATTTAATTAAGCAACGCCCTGGATTTTGAAAGTGACTTTGTTTTTTTTAAACATATATCGTCCAGATATAAGGAGCTCCTTGGATAGCATAAAAGTGCATTATTATTTGGATTACTCCACCAAAAGCTTGCTGTAAGCAGAAGAGAGCATTTCCCCACGGTCATGCCCAGTTCCCCATGGTCTATCAGCGTTGTTCCTAATGCAAGGTCAGAGCTCACACCTTAAAAGGCCAGCAGTGAGACTGAGAACACAGCATTCACTTGGCACTCAGTGACATAATCCTACACTCCTGGTAGCACAGAGATGTCATGTGATGCCCAACCCAGACCTCTGCTGCTCACAGAGATGAAGCTGCAGAGGGAGAAGGTAGGATGCTCTGCCAGCAAGAAGGGTGGGTGTCTATTAATTGCTTGGGAAAATGTGAACTCCGGGAGTTTTGGAGGCAGCACCAGGCCCTGGAGAGGCTGTGCTACCGGGAGTATGCTCTCTGATGCTTTCTTTCCTCTGCCCATGCACGCCTCCACACTGTTGTTCCAGCATGAGCTTTTCTGGCTTCTTGTCTCACCTACCACTCAGTTCACCTTACCCTGACTCTCATACACCCACACAACCCGCCTGACCTAAAGCTCTAGCTCTGTGCCCACTTACAGCCCTGTAGGAGTATAGGCTGAGATCAATATGAGCTTGCCTTTTGGAGCTGGAGGTTTATGGAAACCTATTTCACCATCTTTCCTCCTGAAACACTGGAATAATCAAGGCAAAAACGCAATGTCTGGCCGCCCTGACTCAGTTCTGCTGTGCATGAGATGTGATTCAACACACCCTTGTTTCAATGCTGGAGCAATACATCAGATCTCAGTTTGCACTGGCAGTTAAAAGTTCTCTTATTTTTCAGCTGGGCATCATTAGCTGTGTGACACCAATCTCCTCAAAAGACAGTTATGACTGATACAGAAGCACACACTCACCTTCCCTGTTTCCTGACCCAAATGAAATTATAGTAGGTAATTTATTTACACTGTAAATTCCAAGGCAATTGATTGCTAGTAGTTAGCATTTGTTAGTGAGGAAATGGGTGGGATTAATGTCTGGGTGTGTTCTAAAAGGTTGTCCTAACTATTTCTGTGATTTACCCTTGTTTTTTTAAAATAAGTAGTTATGAAAGCAATAAAGCAGAGCTGATCAGGTTCAGATAGTATGGAATCCTGCTCAGTGCAAAACACAGCATCCCATTGGAGTGTTAGCTGCCAAAATTGGCTGACAGAATGCTGGGAAATTGCTCCTTTACCAACTACTGGTACCAGCAGAAATGGAGCAGATGATGTTAATTGTATCTGAACACAGGGTAAAGGCTTGTGATATGATGGGAGTGCTATTTCAGGTATTGAGGTTTCTTCTTCTGGAAATCAATTATTGACTGGGGCAGAGGAAAAGGTTGAAAATATATATTTTAAAAAACATTAAAGGTAAGAAAGGCAACCTGACTCACAGAAAGCAGCAGGAGCTTTCAGTGTACTGAGGAGGAACATTAATGCCTCCCTTTACTCCATGCAATAGTGAAAGAGTGGGAAGCAAAACAAAGACTGTAGATATTATTTTCTAGATTGTGAGCTATTCTCACATGTGCTATATATCCTTCCATATTTGACATTTCTCTTTAAGTTTACTAAAAGTGGATTTGTGAATCACCCACTGCACTTTGATACTTGTCTTGGGATGTAAATGGTTGTTTCCAGCTGTTCCTTTTTTCCCCTCCTAATCAACTACTAAAGTTCTCTGCTTTTGCAACCTGCTGAGCTTTCCTGACCAACTTCCTTCTCTTTTAAAACAAAGCAGACAGCCTCAAACATTTCCCAGAACTGTGCAATTGTTCCTGTTATTGCCTGCATGATTATGTTCCCAATAAAGCCAGTGTCAGTTGTGTGTGTCTGTGGAATACGACTGGAATGTATTTTGGACAGTGCTGTGTACTATTGATGGCTCCAGCACGGTATAGGAATCCAATTTGCCTCAAGTCCATTACCATAGCAGGGACATTAGCACCATGAAGCCAATACAGTGACATATGGCTTGTGGCTGTCCTTGAGCCAGCTAAGACATACATTTTTTTTTCCCATTATTAGAGAAGGTGGTTGTCCTGCAGCTTTGAGTATTACACTCTGTCTGCTTTTGATGGTGATGTGAAGCAAAGGGGGAAAAAAGAATAATGAATAATAACTGAGGCTTTTTGGAGTAGAAATAAGATGTTGATGAGGCATGCAGTAGCTGTGAAGTAGGACAGAGTGGCTCAAGAGTGATGCATGGTTCCCAGCCCAGAGATCCTTTCTGTGGGCTGAAACTGGAGGCTGTTCTCTGTGCTGGAGAAAGTTCTGAGCTTTTTGGGAACTCTTCATCTGATAGGTCATTCTCTCTTGACCCATAGTATCCACTCTGGCAGGGGATAAGGATTTTAAAACAAGTAGAGATTAAGACTGCTGGTATCTGTCTGGCTTTCTTGCTCAGAGAACTAGTTTAATATTAAGGGTCATGATGGAGATATCAGTATGGGACCACAGTGCTCACTCTGTGACATATGAGTTTACAACTAATCACATTATATTTTGCTATGAGATAGGATGGGTAAAAACATGGCCTACAAATCCAATTTCTGCTCTATATTTGATCCTGAGAACAGTTAATCCTCTCTGTACACTGCAATCCCTGTCCAAAGTGTTATCCTGTCCTGATCTATTGTTGGTAATTGAGTTTTCCAAGTATTTAACTAGTATTTGGTGTTTTTTTACTCTACTAAAACTCCTCAGTGAATAATACAGGAACATTTTCAAAGCTAGTCTATCCCCAGTGTGTAATCTCAATTCCTTTTGCTTGCTATATTCAAGACTTCTAGCACTTGCTGGTGCTTTTTCATTTCATGAGGAGAGCACCCTTTCAGGGCTGAAATAGTGGAGTTAAAGCAGTCTGAAATGATAATCTTTGACTAATGAGACTGAAAGATATGTGTCAGAGAAGAGTCTGGTAAAACTCAGCTATGTATCTCACATGGACTATGGAAATTGTTGCTGCTTCTGTTACAGCAGCTTTCATGGAGGATTTCTGAACAAGACAGAGGGCTGATGTGAATCTCTCCAGCATGATTTGTTGTCCGTATCAAAATGGAACAGAATCCAGAGCTTTCAGTTAACACTGCAGAAATCATTGATAGAAACTGATTTTTCAGACCTGTAAGCAAATAGGTCTTCCTCAAAAAATAGTGATAAGAGCATCTACTTTATCAGGCACTGTTCCTGATATTCAGCAGAAGCCTTACCTAGCATCCTGCATTTAAACATCTCTTAGACTTCTTTAAATTCAGATACAAATATTATAACATGAGTCCAGCTTCCTCAAAGACAACTGTGTATTCTTTTTTTCTCTGCAATAGTAAACAGCAGATATTTGTGAAATCTCTCCATTTTTCTGAGCTTCAAATGTTAGACAGTATTAAAAATAGTTTGCCAGCTTTGCCATCTGTTAGATGCTGTAAGGAGCTTTACTAAGAGGGGAACAAAAAATAAGTTTGTGCATGCATAGACCTGTATGAGAACGAAGGAAAGAAAGAAGGAAAGAAAGAAGGAAAGAAAGAAGGAAAGAAAGAAGGAAAGAAAGAAGGAAAGGAGGAAAGGAGGAAAGGAGGAAAGGAAGGAAAGGAAGGAAAGGAAGGAAAGGAAGGAAAGGAAAGGAAGGAAAGGAAGGAAAGGAAGGAAAGGAAGGAAGGAAGGAAAGGAAGGAAAGGAAGGAAAGGAAAGAAAGGAAGGAAAGGAAGGAAAGGAAGGAAAGGAAGGAAAGGAAGGAAAGGAAGGAAAGGAAGGAAAGGAAGGAAAGGAAGGAAAGGAAGGAAAGGAAGGA